GAAAATTTAATTTTACTAGATTATTGTCAGAATACTTTCAAAAAAGCTTATACAAATTCCCACTGTCACTAAACAGGTAAGAGAATGGACATTTCTCCATAACCTCACTTCTTTTCTAAACTCTGAAATAACTGAAAAATCATTGGACCTGTCTGCTCTTTAAGATTGGTAGGATTCACCTTTGAAATATCTCTTCTGGTACTTTTTCTAGGGGCTGCTCTTGAATAACTTTCTCTAGATACTTTATAATATATAATTTCATTAGATTTCTCTCTCTCCACAATCATTTCTGTAATTTACATTCTCCTAAAAAAGCATCTACTCGATCTAGGTTTTCAAATTCATTTCCCTGAGAGTTGGGCAAACTAACCACTTCAATTCTTTTCATTTCCTTTATGTCCCCTTATATGGTTTTATTTCTACAGCACCTAGCACCTTCTAACATACCATGTTATCTCTTATTATTTCTTAACTATCTCTTTCCACTAGAACACAAGCTCTATGATGTTAGGAATATTTGTCTGTTTTCTTTACTGATTTATCTCCAATACCTAGAATGATACTTGGCACACAGTAGAAAATCAGTGCATATTTGATGAAAGAATGAACGACCCTGATGGGTTAAAAAAAGAGAGTATGTATGTATGTGTGTGTGCATGAAATTGTTGAGCATCCTTTCATACCTAGTGGCCATATGCATTTCCTCTTTAAAAAAAAAACACCCTTTAATATTACTTGCTCGTATTTCTTTTTTTCTTTTTTATTGAAGTTTTTTATTCAGTTTACAATGTTGTGTCAATTTCTGGTGTACAGCATAATATTTCAGTCATACATATACATACATGTACTTGTTTTCATATTCTTTTTCATTATAGGTTACTACAAGATATTGAGTATAGTTTTTGCTCATATTGAGCTAACTGTCCCTTTTTTATCAGGAGATAGTGCTTGAATATAAAGAGTATAACCCTTCGTCAAATATGTTGCAGTTGGTTTCTCCCCATTAATATTTTGTTTGAGTGTCTTTTGCTATTATAAAATTTAAACATAATCAAATTTGTCAATCTATTCCTTTATAACTTCTGAATTTTTTTTTGTCTAAGAAGACTCATCTGATCACCCAGAAGCGTAAACACCCAGAAATTATACAAAAATTCTCCTAAAATTTCTGAAGTTTTGCTTACAATTTTATAAATTTATTTTTTGCAGTTAGATGCTTAGTTAATCTAAGATGTATTCTTTTTGTGATATGAAGTAGCAATCCAACTTTGTTTTCCAAATGTATTAAATCAGTCATGTGATGTTTCCAGATACTAAGTAAACCACCATTTTCCCCTTCATTGAAATGCTTCTTCCCTTTTAAAAACAGCAACAACAAATTATTAAGTTCCTATGAAAATGGATTTAAGGACCTTCTAGTCTGTCCTACTAATCTATCTGTTTACCCATGGGCTAGGACCATTTATTCATTCATTAACTAATCCAATAAATATTACTTGAGGGCCTATTCTGTGCCAAGGACTCTTCTGAGTACCAAAGAGTCAGTGACAGATCAGAAGGCAACACCAGCTCTAACTCCGGCCCTATGACACGTACAGCTTTGATGGGAGAGATGGACAATCAGTAAGTACATAGGATGTCAGAGGGTAATAAGTGCTATGGAGAAAAACAAACATAGGGGTCAGGACACAGGGAACAGGAGGTGATGAGGCTTGTAATTTAAATAAGATGGTCAAGAAAGGCATCACCAAGAAGGCAGCATGTGAGCAGAAACCTGACTGAAATGTGTGAATAGCTGAGCTATCTGGGAGGAACAGTATTCCAGGCAGAGTAAACACAAAATACAAAAGCAATGAGGTGAAAGCCATCTTGGCATATGTGAGAAACAGCAAGCAGGCCAGACAGGCTGCAATAGCATGAGTAACAGGGGACATAGGGGATGGGATGGAAGGGAACCGGGAATACTTACAGGCTGTATGAGTCAGCTTGGGCCGCTGTAACAAACACACAGTTTTGGAGGCTGGAACCCCAAGGTCAAGGTGTGGACAGGTTTGGTTTCTTGGGCTTTTCTTCTTGGCAGCTGGCCACCTTCTTGCTGTGTCCTCAAGTGGACTTTTCTCTACGCGTGTGCATCCCTGGTGTCTCGCCCTCTTCTTATAAGGACACGAGTCATATTGGATTAGGGCCCACCCAGATGACCTCATTGAACTGTAATCACTTCTTTAAAGGAAAATAAAGCCAGGGAGGGAAAATGATGAAGCAGGGGCTGGGTAAATGCTTTAGACAGGGTAATCAGGGAAGTCCTCACCGGTGAGGTGACAGCTAAGCAGAGATATAAAGAAAGAGGGGGGAAGTCATACAGATACCTGGAAGAAAGCTTTTCAATAGAGAACACATCAAGGACAAAGGCCCTGGGACCGAAGAACGTTGCACATGTCTGAGGAATAACAAGAAGGCCAGCTTAGTTGAGGTGAAGTGATGCAGAGGAAGGACAAGGATGGAGATGCAGCAAGGAGTCAGATCATGAAACTCCTTATAAACCACTCAAGGCAATATTGCACACTGAACAAGACACTGGATTACCCTTCTAGCCCCAGCTCTGATACTAACCTCATTGTATTTCAATATCTTACAAGGGAGAGGACTAGGTTAGCTTGCCCATAAGATGTGAGTCTGGAAATCTTCTGTAAACTGAAAGATGCTCATCAATATTCATGGCATTCCAAAAAAATATTTTTTAACTCTTAGAGTCCACTATATCCATGCTACTCCGGGCTCTTATATCATCTAGTCTCCTTGGACCACTTACAGACATTCTAATTCCCATCCAAAGATGTCAGTATTCTTGATAGAAGAAAAG